GTTGCTCTACCAATTGAGCTACCAGACTCGGTCAATTTATTTTCGATTTTTAAATTTTATAATATTAGTTAGATTTTCTTTAACATATATGCGTAATAAGGCTAGTATCAACCTTATCAGCCTTAAGTAAACTTTTGTGGAATAGATTCTAACTTGGACGACCTTGTGACTATGTGAATATCTTGTTCAAATAAGTATGTAGTACATTGACCAAGGTTTTATATTATGTCGCTAGGGGCCGCATCATTTTTGGTATCTGTGATGTCATGGTGACGTTGTTGATAGGAAAAACCAACTTTCCAAAACGCAACTATTGCCTTCGAGACCTACTTTTTTCATGGTTCACTTCTTCAAATATCAATAATCCTTATCAAACAAGAAGCTGAATTGTACAGGATAAAATTATATAAGTGCATCAAATTTCAAATGTCTTTTTTTAATTTTATAATTAAGAGCTCTTTACAAAATGAATGTAAAAGTTAAATATCTACATATATATGCTAAATGTTAAACAACACTTATTTATGTAAAAATGCTTATACATAAATGTATTTAGAAAAACAGACGAAGTATTTGTATTCAATTTCGGTTTAATTTTAATGTAATTTAATAAAAATACGGTCTATTTTATACAAGCAATTTCAAAATTATGTTTACTGGTTTGCGGAAATATTATATGTCTGTTTTTTACTATGTGTGGTTATCCCATTCCGTCTGCAGGAAGATGGAAGTACTACAAGACAAATACTCAACCAAACAAACAATTTCACCTTCGCTTTCTATTCGGCAGAAGTATTATATATACATATGGCATTTTCTAAGAATAAAGTATCTTATAATACAGTTTACAAAATAACCGAGAATTGTTATAAAAAAAAACTATGTTTTATACTAAGCGTGCCATACAAATTCGGATTAAAATCAGTATTCTATTTTCAAAATGTTTGTTACATTTTCTTAAAAAATGTTCGTTTGAGGTTTTATTTAGTTCGATGAAACACATACTTTACCGTGAACATACAATTTCTTACAAAATCCGGGGGAAATACGAAAGTTTCTAACTATAAGACTTCTTATTACGGTTTCCACGATGAATAGTATTTATACAACTACCCTTCAATATTACCATAATTTATATACCTCATACAATACCATCTAATTTGGAAGTCCCTGTGATCTTCACGAAGGGTCCGTATGGCGCTTATAAATTAATTCATGATTTATGCTTCTTACCGCGACAGCCCTATTATTTTTTATAACCTTTCCCCGCGGCTTCGCGTGTGTTTTCTGTCTGGAATGGTTAGTTGATTTATTTCAACCATTAATTAAAATGTTTTTGAAGGCTCAGGAATATGGAGCGGTATGTATTTGAAGTAGAAGAATTTTAAAACATACTAGCTGATTCAGTAAAGGTTTTGTTCTTTGCAAGATTTATATTATGTTGATACAACTCTAACAAATGATTGGTAATAATGCATTAATTTCTACCTAAATATTAGATTGCCATAAAAACGGGTTTTGCGAGTTAATCTTAAAAGAGAGATGTATACTGTCAAGGACATTTTTGAGATCATTCAAAGAGGAATACAAATTTCATACATATTTTTTGGTTTCTTAAACAATTTTTGCAGCTCACACAAATAAAGCCCGCAAAAGTGAATATTATGTCTCGATTTTTTCGTTGGTTGGTTCATATAGGATGCATAGGCTAAAACCTTCCTAGATAAATGGTCTACCCAAAGCAAAGATTTTTTTTTTAATACCAGTAGTTGCTGAGGTTAGCACGTTTATACAAACGAGCTCTTAATAATTTAATTCAATGCCAGTCCTAAGTATAATACGTCATGGGTCAGCAATTTGACATTGGGACCTAAAGGGCTTGGCTCCACAATACCGTTGACGAAACTAGAAGGTGTATTGACGTAAAACAATACGTCGTAAACAAATTTCAATAGACTATGATATGAAAATACGATGTCCGAAAAATGATGTATATATAGAAAAGCAATAAAAAAAATGTTCCCTAACGCGCATACAAAGTGTTATGTTGGTTTAATAGTAGCAATGTATTGTAGGTTCGTTGCCCGCCAGGTCCAAAAAGCTTCTAATGAATCTGAAAACTAGTGGTAACTCATTTGGTGGTAGAAATATCAAAAAGCCGTTCGCGTCAAGAACCATCCGCAAATGAAAAAGCCGTGAAATTTAATCGCGTTTGGGTTCCAGTCTGTCGGATTCTGAATATCCAAAGCCGTAGTAGGACGACAGTGGTCAGTGCATCTTGAGATGTTATGTGGGAACCTTCCATCCAGTTAGCCCCATGCTCGCCTGCCCTCCTTTCTCATAAGACAATAATAAAACTCATACAAATATTTTAGAAAATTTTATTAGACTTCATGCATAATTTCGTACATTAGAACAATTTCCACTTTTAATATAGTATTTCAGTTGAAGAGTAAATTACTATGTCAACGCTTGTGTTTTATTAATTGTTGATGTGTTTTGACAGTTAAACTCTAGCATTTATCAGACGAAATAATGGTTTCCATCCAGAAAAACGTAATTACCAGTAAAGTAACCGTTACTAAAACCGTTATTATTAACGATCGCAACGTTCTCGAAATATTTAAAATTTCACTCGAATATCATCATAAGTAACAGAGTAAAGGGCAGGTGTAGTTTATGTAGTTTGAATCTATACTAATATACATATAAGAGTTTGTTTGTTTGTATGTTTGAACGCGTGTTGAAAAATTCTTCTTGTGTTGGTTGAAACATTTATTGAGGAAAGCTATGGGCTATAAAAAATGTCGATGTGACTAATAGGAGCAAATGAACAGCGGGAAATGTCATAAAAAACGGGGACAATTATACATCCTTGTGTTGTTGGTTTTGATTGCGTACCCGATAACGGTTTTAGATACCCAAAAAATATGTATGAACGAATGATTTCTCTTTAAATGATCTAAAAAAAAGTCCGCGACAGTATATGTCTATCTTGTAAGATTAACTTGCAAGAACGACAGGACACTGACGACGTTGTGGGTGACAGATTAAATTTATAGAACCAAACAAGAGGTGTCCAAAAGCAAAAAACCTACCCAAAATAACTATTCTACGCGTACGAAGTCGTTGCATCGGCTAGTTTAGAATATTGATGATGTTTTTAATTATCTAATAATTTTACTTATCTTATATATCTAATGTGTTCAAAAGCCTGCCAAATTTCAAAAATTTTAACTAAAACCCATTATACCTTAGAAATCGCCTTAACGTAATTTTAACATATAGTGTTCTTAGGTTTGACTCTCCCGTATACATGTTACATGAGTGCCACACCTATCAGTCTTATACCCCAAGCACGGGAAAGGATAAGCTACACCTTTCAAGTTTCACTTTGGTAATGTTAATTGTAAAGCTTGGTTTCAATAAACTTGTTAAGTTAAGCGTAAAATGATCGATCATCGCTTCCATTATCTTAAATTGGAATGTCTTAAGATTAATACAATTTACGTAATAGCCATAATTACTTGATTTCACAATTTCGTCTGATGAGTCAAAATCACTAGTCAAATTGAACACAAACACATCCAGATGAGCTTATTTCAACATCAAAGACTAGTAAAGGAAGGACTGTATCAATAAATTGGGGCTATTTTTATGCTGGCATCCCTAAGTACTTCCTGATAGATGGGTTATGTATTTTTAATCTGTTCTTAAGAATTCCAGATTGTCTATCGAATTGGGCAGATAAATTTTTTTTAAGGAATGTTTATTTAAGGTTTTTTAGTCTAGTGTTTCACAAGAAACAAATTTATGATTGAAATTTTTTTTTTATTTATTGAAAAGATAAGTCCTAACTTAGTACTCAAGAACAATATTGTTTCTTTTCCGAATTTGAGTACTAGTATAATGTACCGAAATGATTTACTAAGATAATTTAATATGTGTCAAATATTTACTATAAAAGAGAAAGTAATACTGTAGACGTCCAGGTTTAATTATAAACCACACCAACGCTTTTTTCACCGAGAAATACACAAGCCCCAACATCTAAAAATGCACTGTCGGCCTATTTTGTTTTTGGACATTAGTTCCTTCATTTATGACTAGCGACCCACCCCGCCTTCCTCGGGTGCAATGCTGATACTAAATACACTACAGAAAAACTGTGAACGTTGTATATAGAAAAAAAAACCTTTCTCTTGAATTACTCTATCTATTGAAAAGCCAGGAGCAAAATCCGTTGCGTAGTTTTAAACATTTAAGCGCACATAGGGGCAAGAAAAAGCGAAGCGAATAATATCACGAAGAACTTTATTTTAATTCCTCTTTCACATTGATTGAAATGTATTATCCACACTTAAACACGTAAGGCGCTATTATCTAAGAGTGCCCTGTTTTAGACCAATAAAATAGATAGGGCTGGGGTCAGCACGGCTACCGTCACAAAATGCAAGATAAGGCACGCCGCGTTGCAAAATATGTTGTATCATTTTACTTGAATTCTGATAAGTTGATACTTCCGTTTATTTTTAATAGACGTAACACGATACTGTAAATTCCGAATAGATCGGTTACATAAAATGGAATAGTTAGCCTTTGTCTGCGTCACGCGGTAAAATGCAGTGGTGTTCGAGTAATTGTTATACATTCATAGAAAGTTCATATTGTCATTATCACTGTCTGATAAATTAATTATTGATTATAGAGACCAGTAAGAGAACGGAATTTGGAGAACTCGAAATTTTAACCATCCAAAGAGAATAACGGAGACTAAATTTGTATTTAAGACAAATTAAATTCATTAGTCGAATTTAATTTACGTTACACAAATATTTATTTACTAAACTTTATTAAGTAAGTAATATTAAAAGTAACTAGGAAAAATAGAAAACGCAATACAGAACTCAAATTTCAGATGCACGTAACGAAAGTTTAAAAATGGAACGTCTATATAATCTTACTTAATGATACCATAGACAATTTGCTTTCTTTTCCAGATTACCAAGTGCCTGACGAAAAGGAATGTGCCTTTAGTGACAGTGTTGCAAGTGTTAATTTATTTTTAATATAAATATAATTATCTGTGCTGACTTAGTGTTGTGACTTGTGAAGAACCATGGAGTTAAGAAGATTATCTATATATTTAGCACTGTTCGTGGTGGCCTGCGTATCGCAATGTTCAGGTAAGTGTCAAGCTTAAGAAATTGCAACAATTTTTAAGGAAGTGATAAGTATACAATTTACGTAGACTTTTGTCTCTAGTTTCATAATATAATGTAACAAATTCCAAATGTGATCACTTATTTGGGAATTGAATTAAAATTATGTTCTGTATCGTCTAAGTTATTTTTTATCTGTCGGTTAACACTGTCTGTAGTTTACGCGAATAGTACACATTCAAATAAACACTTTAACGGTCTAAAACGAGTCATATATTAGTTCAACTTATTTGAAAATCATTTTAACTACGGTTCGATGTTTCGGATCCTTCGCTTCAGCCGTGGTCACGGAGAGACTAAAGATGGAGGGTGTCTTTGACGTCAAAGTAAAAAGAAAAATACTATGCTAGCGCCATCTGTTCGTCGAAGTTGATATTTGGCGAAATTAGCCGGTGTTTTAAACCATTAAAGTGTTTTATTTAAAGGTCTGTTAACACTGTTAGAGTTTCCAACGTTCCAAATATTATGAACCTCAATGAGTTGTGCATATTATTTTGAAACGGGATCGCCGGCTGAAAAACGGACAAGGTTGTCCGCAAATACAACGGTATTACTGATTAGTCATACCTAGAACAGTTTTAGAATCTAGACCAGACTGATTGTCTTTAGCTATTAATTATTGTGAAGGTTTGTATTATATAAAACCATTTTATATAGCTATTTGTACCTTTAAAGTTCATCATGTATTATTATTTTTAAAATGTTTATGCGATATACTCAATGTGGAAAAAATAGGCTTAGATGCTCCTAGTCGAGTTGATTTATCTCTTAAAAGTCTTACTGTGAGGGTAGAAAAATGACCTTGCTGATTATCATGTACGTAAGTGTGAGATTACGATAAGCAATAAAACCTCTAAGTCTGAAAAGAAGAAAATCTCAGAGGCCTTCGCATTTTATCGCAATCATGATGAACAAATTACACGGATTTTATCTGAAACAGGTCGTTCACTCGGCTAGATTACGTTCGCTAGTGACGCGTGATGCAATCTTTGGGCACAGAATAATGAAAAACCAGAAGAACGATAGCAATCCAACACCGATTTCTCCTCCCTACTAAGTTAATAACGCTATAGTAAAATAAATTTAATCTGCAAAAAAACTAAATTAGCAAAAAAAAAGCTACTCCTTTCGCATATACCAAGGTAATTGTTTGAAGGAATAATTCGTAAATACGTCAATTTATTAAACAACTCCAATTTGGAGTACTCATACCAGTTTCACAGTATATGGGTGGGTTGTTCTTTATTCAGTGGCTTGGGTTTATGGTGGAAAACAATTATCTATATAATTGCTATTCACAATCTAAGTATAGATTTTTTAATTTAGGATTACAGTATCGTTTTAATGCTGTGATGTTTTATTTTAAGTTATATTTTAACGTTAAGAAAGACGTACTGTTTTTAACGATATGATTTTTAAAATGCACATTGAATCAAAATACAACTACATACAATACGTATTTTTTTATCAAGTTTCAAAGGCTTTTTAGTGGGATAATATAGCTAAATCAAAAAAGAAATTGTTGCAGATTTATAAAAATGATTCACAGAGTTAGCGATACTTAACAAGTACTTATGAGAACTCTATAATAAACTATTGTCATAATTACCGCCATCTAGAGCATTTTAATAGAGCAATTATTCCATTTTAATAGACTCAATAAAACCCGCCTAAACAAGGACGTATCAAAGCATTAACGGAATGTAATTAGCAGTCTCGTTGAAAGCGCATCAAATCGAAGGAACATCAAAGTGACAGCTGTCAAACCACAGATTGAAGAAGGTGTTGTAGAGCTACTAAATATAATAAGAATAATTTAAATAAATGCGTTTTGTGTTGTTGAGGATATAAACATTTTATTAAAGAAAGTCTAGCGTGGTACTTGAATTATTATTTAATTATTTTTTTCCTTTATTTTGGTCATTAACACCTGAGGTATGCTGCTCAGGTGTTAAGTGCACGAGTTCATTCTTGAGTAAAGTAGTTCAACTTCGTAAGACAAAAAAAGTTGTATTTACATAAGTAAAGTTGCATTTACATATTTTTAATTCAAACGGAGGCGTACAAAGCCACAGCCCTTAGAAAAAATATGATTACACTGTGACTCGTGATAACACACAATAAGTAGGGTATTTTGCGAATTTCCAGACGCATTAATCAATCGGCCACACCTCAAGGACGGTAGTTCGACGACCTTAATTAATTAACTTCGTTTTTTATAGCTACTGTAAACGGTAAAGTGACAATATGTTAATTAGTTATATGGCTACTGTAGACATGGTACAATTGAGAGCTAATATTTTTGTAAATATACTTGTAATATAGTGTAAGTCTATAGTTTACGCGAGTAGTAGGCATTCAAATAAAAAATTTTAACTGTTTAAACCGCGATATTTTAACGAAACGTCGGTCCGTAGTTTTTACACCGTTAAAGTGTTTTATTTCAATATTTCAGGTATGTATAACAGTTAACAGGTACTGAAATGTTCTTTCTATATTATTGCATACATCGGTCTATGTGAATGTGATCCCGTTAAACAATGAAAAACTACTAAAATGAAATATAATATGTTATCGAAAAAACTGCCATTCGTTTGTAATTTGACGACCTTCGCTAATTTAAGAAATAATTATTAAGAACTTATGATTGTAATAGACATATCAAATAATGAAGTAATACAATCCATAGATATTATGTTCGCCGTCAGTAAAAAAATCGCGTAATTTAATATTGAACGAAAGATTTGAGGCAATTGAAAATGTTTATGTAATCGTTCGATCACGATAACAATGGTTCATTCGAAGTTAATCCATTCGGTCATCAATCAAGTGACCGAGACGAATGATTTATGGGCTTATTGATTGTGAACTAGTTTGTCATGCATGTACTTGGGATCTCGTGATAAAATACTCGTAAACAAATATCAGTTCTTTTTATGTTCCGAGTTACAAAAGAGTTAGTTTTAAGTAAATATTATCGAGAGATTTAAGTTAGACAGACATTTCTGTGTCCGATTTTCTTGTAAGTAAGCGATCCACCTCACCAAATCAAATTAATTACCTAGAACGATTCCCCGCGATTCAAACTGAGGACCTCTCATGCTTAACGTATTGTGCTAAACTACATTTTACAATTGATCTGATAAATATTAATGGAATTCTAGAATATTACGACCGCTAATTAAATTGTATAAATACTAGGCATACCAAATTATTCGAAAATTACTATACAATCTAAATTAACCGTAGGAACTTAGCTGGAAATGTTTCGTAAGCCAATCGGTGTCGGAACAAAATAACGGAATGTCGTTCTACTGGTTGTGTTTTGCGACTTTGTCTTGTTAATAGTTTTATTGGATTACAAATAGTAAATGGATTTAAGTTAATGCAGAGATTCTTCTTTGATAATTATTTTCGCAACTTTCTTTCACTATTTAAGACATTTAAAACGTATATAAGATAGTTACCTGTTTATTCTTTCTTCTTTGATAATAACTGTAAACAGTTTCCGTTAAACATAATGAACGTAGTTATCTTCAATATGAAAGATAAATTAAGTCTTACTACAGAATTGTCCTTTTTCAAACAATTAGGAATGTGTGAATGAAACTTCTTCAAAGCTGATGAAATAAAGATTACAATGTTTTGATTATGTTACGTAAATGATAGAGGATGACTGATAAAAAGTACCGGTAACTGCATTGCGCAAACTGGATGCGTTTCATGGCTGAAAAGGGCGGGCTGTCAGCATGAGTACCACAGATAAAGAAAGAATTGCGTATGTTACGTAGATTATACAAAAAACAGCTTCTAGCACAGATAAAGCAACGTTTCATTTTGCATTTATAGATAAGAGTTAATTAAAAAAAAACCAGCAATATTAAGGAGTTTCAAATTGAATAAAAATTGCGTACAGTCAAAGTGGTGTTGCAAAATAAGTCGCATATTTAGTATATTTTTAGACACACTGAATGATTTCAAAATACTGTAGTCTGTAGTTTCGACTGTGTATTCAAATAAAACTAAAAAGTCTACAAAGGACGGTTCAACATTCTAAGACATCGTTCGATTTATTACTTGAAAACATGGCCTTCTCATATATAACTTATTCGTCTTAGAATTTATCTGAGTGAACACATATTCGTTTTAAAGCGCTTTACAATTTAAAAAGTATAGGATATACAATAGCGAATACAATTAATACAAATGCAGGCTTTTAATTATTATTATTTTTTTCAAATTATTGAGAATCTCCAGCGTAGCGTCTCTTTCCATTAAGACCGAAAGGTTGTGGGTTTTTCATTTCGGAAAAAACAGTAAAAATTGCTTCGGCGTGACAGATCACCTACAAGCCTGTAATTAATCATTATACAAAAAATTTGCTCAAATAGACACAGAATTGTCCGTTTGTTATTTCAGGTCCATCCCAGTTTTTTTGTAAGTAAGAGCATTTATAAAATGAATTATTTATATAAAATATTCTTCAAATTAGCATTTTGTATTCCCATTATTCATACTACTACTGGATAGGAAAAAACAAAGCTTACGAACACAAAATCAAGATTCCATGTACATAAGGTCTTATCTTAATTACAAAATGAGTGTAAGCGATACTTATGCAACTCCCAGCAATTAAGTAAGCAAAGATAAGAAAGTTAGCATATCGCTTTCATAAGTTTTCTTAGTAGGGGCATAATTATATCACATATATATTTTTTTCTATTTCAATGGTATTTTAGAAGGAAATTATTATCGACTAGCTGTGCCAGCGACTTCGTCCGCGATAGTCGTTATTTTGGGCATCCAAATTAGTTTTAGCAAACCCCGTCATCTTTATAAACTTAAGCTGTTAGCAACGACGTCGATCGCGTCCTTTCTCGTCGTTCTTGCAAGTTAATCTTAAAAGATAGACATAAAGTGTCGCGGACTTTTTTTAGATCATTTAAAGAGGAATCATTCTTTCA